CAGCTGAGCCCGGACGGTTCATACCTGCTGACCAACAGCATGGACTGCACGCTTCGCGTGTGGGACATGCGGCCGTACGCGCCACAGAACAGGTGCGTGAAGGTTTTTGAAGGGCACCAGCACAACTTTGAGAAGAACCTGCTGAGGTGTGCGTGGTCTCCCGACGGGAGCAAGGTGACGGCTGGCAGCAGCGACTGCATGGTGTACGTGTGGGACACGACTTCACGCCGCGTGCTGTACAAGCTCCCTGGGCATACGGGGTCGGTCAACGAGTGCGCATTTCATCCTCGGGAGCCGATTATCGGGTCGTGCAGCAGTGACAAGCAGATATATCTTGGTGAGATTTGAAAGGCTTTTGTGGATGTGATCATGTGAGAGTCTGTTTCAGAGTTGTAGTGACAGTCTTTAGGTGTATTTTGATTGGTATGATTAATGAACGAAGTTCTTTAAAATGTTCTGCGAAGATTGTGGATGCTCGAAAACTTTCGTCATTTGTTTCGGGCAGCGGGCTTTTGTTTTTGGTTATTGGTGTGGACTTGTTGTTATAAGATAAGAGGCAATATTATTTGTAAGGTTATTATATTATATTATTGCACTGGAAATGCATTTTATAATGTCAGGAAAAGTTTAAAAAGTTTGAGCGCTAAACTCATTCTGGCTTTCGCTCATTTGCAGTCACTAGTGAGATGTTTTGTGTTGATAACATTTTTCTGAAAGAAAACATGAACCATACTAAATTAGATGTTAATTTAGCATGCGGTCTGAGTTATAAGCAAAGATCTGTAAAGTGTCATGCTAAATCTTAATCACATTAAATGTAATGTACATTGCATTGAGTTAAAAATTAATTAAACTCTCGATCATGCTTAATACTTCATAGCTTTAAAGTTTGTGGGTGTCCCATAAAGATAAGCACATGTATACCATAAAATAACTAATTGTATCAAGTATCAACGTTTTCAAACTACAAAACCAATAATAATTAATAAACATAAACTCTCGATGAAGCATCTCACTCCCCCTCATAACTCTTTCACTAAAAAGATGTTCGACCATATAGTACAATTAGAAATTAGACAAGAAGACATAATAATCTTCTTTAACTTATACTGCACTACACCCATTCAACTACTTTTCTAGCAACGTTATAGACTCACACTGCATCTATAGTTCCCACCTAGCTGCAAGATGCTCGTCCCAAGCTTTAAACTTATGTTCTAAATTCAGTTTTGGTAACACTGGAATTAGAACACCGTTGATAAACGATTTTGACCAACCCAAAGCACTAATTAAGTGCTGGTAATAAGATAATTAAGTTATTAAATCCGTGTTTTATTATGAATTTGCGTAAATGTAAGTATAAACGAGGTTGGATAATTTTGACAATAGGGGTCTGGTACTTGCTATTAATGTTGTATTAAATGAGAGAATATTTGTCTTGTTTACAGTAATTTTTTCTGAATCCTTTCTCAAAGGATTCCTAAGACTATTTATAGTAAGTATGACTCGGGTACTATTCTTCGGACAATAAAATTGAACATTAAATGGAAATGACTGCCAATAAATATTGCCCATGACCCTAAGGAGCTTTTTTTCGTACACATACATGCTTTTGTCAAGTTTCTCCCGTCATTAATGATGCGGTTGCAAATTGCCATTATTTAATCATTTTCAACCACCTTAGTGTGATTGGCTCGGGTCCTTACGCGTCAACCCCTCTTATTCTACTCAAGTCCTGAGCTCAGTTTTACTGTCTAGCATTTTTTTCGATTGGGTTAACACTAATAATTATCTGACTTGGGCGTTCCGTCTGCTCTTAGCTCGACACCCATCTGTTTATATTTCCAGAGTTCGTCCTTCGCTCGCGATCTTCCGACCTGAGCACCTTACTTGGCACGTTACTCATTTAGTCATATTATTTAATCATGAATTCGTACAGCTCAGCTCAGATGTCAACATGCAGGTCCCCGAGCTAGGAAGTGACACTTTTTGTCGTTACTTATGAGGTCGACATTTAGACGGCGAAACCGAGCTGACCAAGGATCCTCCCCAGCCACTCGCGCGTATATCGAAAAGACGCGTCTACTTAGATATTTAATGATGTCATCCGAAGAGTTTTCCATATATGGACATGCCCGATCCTCAAAAGATGTGCCAGTTCAGGTTTTTCTGACGACATGGCAGTAATCTGGCCACGATCGTGCTTCCTTAGAAACTTCTGATGGAGCCCACCATTTTTTTTTCAAACTGTTGCCTTCCAAAACGTGGCGTCGATCTGTGTAGGCTACCTTCTCTTATAAATAAACGTGTTTCCTTTCTTTTTGAGTTTCTTACTTTATGAATTCCGTGCTTTCTCTCCAAAACTTTCTTGCTTCCGCCAATTTCGCTCTTCTCATTTTTTCTGTAGTTTCGAGATCTTTCAGTAAGACCATCTTTCTCTTCTTCTGTCTCTAATGTAATTATCATGTCATCTTCTCTGCATCAAACTGTCGATGTTGAACCTACTGGTGAGGAGGTTGTATCCTTGCTGACAAAGATGATAGAGATGGAAATATTTTCACTGCCCGAGGCGGCGGAAACTAAGACGATGACTGATGTTGCGGTTTCTCCGCCTCAAGAACTCATCGGTTTGGACTTAAACTAAGATATCAATATGGACCTGGCCGAGGAGACACTCTAAGGGGACACTCGAGGTCGCGAAAGGTTGGCGTTAGTAGATATATAGATTAATCCTTTGCATGCAACTAGATATATAGATTTGGATGGTAGATTTCACCATTTATTTATCTTTCAAATCGTTGGACGATAACGCCTCCTCTCTCTCAACAATTTTACTGTAGCAAACTAAAACCAAATCTAAATTGTGGTGCCCTCTTCTCCTTCCAGCAGCCGCACCTGCTAGACGAGGCTGGAGGGGATCTTCCCGCCCCACTCATCCCTCGTGTGATTGAAGCACCGCTGTCGTGCCTGCCAAGCTCGCCTGGAGTAGGGTAGTCGTCTGATCGATTCTTTCTCCTCAAGTTTCGTGCAGGCCTCTTTGTCATCCACGTCGAATCGAGGTTTGAGGCCTTTTCTCCACTCCTACCGGAGTCTTGCGGGAGTCTACGGCCAGGGCGCGTCGTTTTGCTTTCTCCCCGGGCTCCGGAGGTGGTCATTGCCTGTGTCGTTTGCCCTCTCGCCTCAGGAGCCAGTCGATTTGCTGGAGCCTTTGTCTCGCGCCTTCAGTTCCGCATCCATGGAGGGGCGTTCACTCGGCTGCCGGTAGCCTGAGGTATTCCCTCTTCATAGAGTGTCACTTGACACTTGGCTTATACTTTTTTGAGTTTTTAAATTAATTAATAAGGTTGGTGTGAGATCCGATTATTATATTTGTCCACACTGCACACCACATCGCCGGAGTGGAATTTCCTTATTCGGTATTATAGATTTTTGAATCAAATAATTTGATTTTTAATATCTTACACGTCTGCCCCGAAATTGTGAACCTGGACTTCTTAATACACACAATACATAGTTTCATTTTATATCGTCGACTTTTTCCGCCTACGACTTCTTCCATACGACGTCGTAGTCGCCGCCCCCTAAAAATGCATCGTTTTTCCAAAGGATAAATATAAACACTTGGAGCTCCTGAACTGTATACACCATACAGCCGAGCGAGTTTGTGAGGTGGATAGGGCCTCAAATTAATGGCGTCGCTAGTGAACAAGCCCTTCACTTCCGTGTGTACGGCCAACAAGTCGGAGATCCTGTCTCCGGAATTTCACTCCGGCAGGCGCTGCCGTATTCCATCCGGGAGGACCGCTAATATTATCAGAATTGCTAGCAAGGGTGGCGTCGGTCGGAAAATTCGCGGTAGTGACTGCGGGCTTGTGTGTAAAGCGGTGTCTCTTGAGACGGAGACTGAGATTGAGGGTTTCAACATCGCCGAGAATGTTACTCAGGTCGAGGCTTTAGTCTTATCGCTGTCTCAATTATGTGTTCTTTGTCTATCATGTGTTCCTCGCAGTCCTCGAGCATGTTACTGAAATAGGATTCTCGTATTGTAATTCTGTGCAAAAACGATTGGTCTTTCTTAATGATTATTTGGATATGAACAGATGCGCATAGCTTAAATCTTCTAACTTTTGGAGTGAAGTTAAGTTCTGCAGAGAGGATTGATTAAGGTTGTAAATGAAAACGAACAATAGTCTGTCTGTTTCAACCACCTTCATGGAACTATTTCATTGTTGAAATGCTCGTATTATGCATAATATAATTGTGAACGATGGTCATGGGTTCACAATGGTCAGTGTCATTTTTTGTCTATGCACCAATTTTAGTTTAGTTTTCTTGAATTGACGGAGTGAATAGAAAATATAGCGAGGATTGGTGTGTGTTGGAATTGAAGTGAAAAATTATGTATCTTGACTGATATCCTACTGTAATAGTTCGACCACACTCTAAGTTATTGGGTTTGTCCGTGCGGCAGATGCGTATATGATTCAGGATAAGATAGCAAAAAAATCAAATAGTCCATTATTTGTCACTATATATCTTGGTGCATCAACTTTGTTTAATGATTTGGTTTGCAATGTTTCTTTTTCTTTCTTTTAGTTCATTTTTTTTCTTTATCTTTGTTTCTCCCTAACAGCTTATTGGGAACACACCAATGGTTTACCTGAATAACATCGTAAAAGGTTCTGTTGCAAATATTGCTGCGAAGCTTGAAATCATGGAGCCATGTTGCAGTGTCAAGGATAGGTGAGAGTTTCCCATTTACTCTTGCAAATTTATTGGTTCTGAGGCATTAGGAAATATGCACCTCTAGCTAAAAGGTGTATGCATTTTCTATTCTGACATGTTCTATGTTCAGATAGTTTTAGCAATTTTTTATAATATAAAAAAATCACTAAACTTATCGAATTAACTTTTCATTGATGCATTCTTTATTTACATTTTGTAAAAGTGTTAATGTGATATAATCTTGCTTTCAGGATAGGGTACAGTATGATTGCTGATGCTGAGCAAAAAGGGCTTATAACTCCAGGAAAAGTAAGATGTCGAATCATTTTGTCTACTCCGGACAAAACTAAAAAATAAAAATAAAAATAAAAGTTGAACTTGAGCAATTGACTTTTTAATTGTCCAGTTTAATCCTTCTGTGCCTATAATGGTATCACGTAATCATGTTCACATCAATCATTATCTTCCGCTGGTATTGTTATATTTCTCGCCTGAAACTTGTCATGTGTCACAAGAAAAGCCTTTGTTATTTGTTACATGCTAGAGCTGATATGACGCACGAACTATTTTTTCCTCAATTATATTTTGTGGCCTTAATGAACATTACACTTAATCTTGTAATTTGTCTAATGTACTAGAGTATACTGGTTGAGCCTACAAGTGGAAATACGGGAATTGGCCTTGCATTTATTGCTGCTTCAAAAGGCTACAAGCTTATCCTGACAATGCCTGCATCTATGAGTCTTGAGAGAAGGGTTCTTCTTAAAGCATTTGGAGCAGAACTAGTTTTAACTGATGCTGCCAAAGGCATGAAAGGAGCTGTTCAAAAAGCTGAAGAAATACTAAACAGCACCCCGGATTCGTACATGCTTCAACAGTTTGAAAATCCTGCGAATCCCAAGGTTCATGATTGTTTCTGAACTTCCCATATTCTTCTGGATTATTTTCCTCAGTCAATTTGCCGTCTTCTTTTTCTCTTTATTTTAGACCTTTGGCTATTGTTTTGATTTAGTCACTTGTAGTATCTGAATATAGGACACTGCCCATTCTGGTTACAGACTCTTGACATGCTTTATTAGTATGCTTTAATATATTGTAAGGAAAAGTGACATGAGTTGGATAGTTTTTTATGCTTGCCCATTCTGGTTACACTCTTGACATGCTTTATTAGTATGCTTTAATATATTATTTTGTTTCCACCGAGCTAAAACAATATGCTGATGTCTTTAGTAAGTTTTACAACTTTTATTAATCGAAATAATCTTCTTAATCGCTGTAAGGAAAAGTGACACGAGTTGGATAGTTTTTAATGCTTATACGATGTGATATTGGGTACAAATTTAGGAAGAGCGTTTAGTCTGCTCCGCCGTCATGATTTAAGGGAATTAATGTGCCATTGAAGTCACGGATCAGAACTTAATTGTATCTCTCTCTCTCTCTCTCTCTCTCTCTCTCTCTCTCTCTCTTTCTTCAGGTTC